TACGACTTTTGGAAAGATTGCTTGCCTTTGATCCAAAGGACCGACCAACTGCCGAAGAGGTTTGTCATGCCGTAATAGACAATCTACTTTCTTAGCATTATGCCTTATGTGTGCCAATGCATATATCCAGCCATTTGCTGGAATGAAAGCATCATATGTGATGAATCTAGCTAGTGTGGATATTTAGTCGCTTGATGGTAAATGTGTTGAATTTGGCCTTTTGTGTTTTTACCAGGCACTTGCTGATCCTTACTTTAAAGGATTGTCAAGAATTGAGAGAGAACCTTCGTGCCAGCCAATTACAAAGATGGAGTTTGAATTTGAAAGGCGAAGGGTCACAAAGGAGGACATACGGGAGCTAATTTTTCGGGAGATATTGGAGTACCATCCTCAATTGCTAAAAGACTACATAAACGGAACTGAGAGAACTAATTTTCTCTATCCAAGGTTCAACCAGCCATAGTTGCTTTTAACATTCAAATATTGTTGCATAGATTGATTAAGGTCCGTTATGCTGCTATCTTTTCCCTGACTGTTTGTGTGTATTTGTACACAGTGCTGTTGATCAATTCAGAAAGCAGTTTGCACATCTTGAGGAAAATGGTGGTAAAAGTGGTCCAGTTATTCCACTTGAACGAAAGCATGTGTCTCTTCCGAGGTAAAATATAGTTCCTTATGTTTATTTGTTCACATATTGACAAGCTGCTATCAAAACAGTGTATGCAAAGTACTGGTACACTGTAATCACGGTGATAGTGCAAATTAGGCAAGTTAGTTGTTGTCTAAGGGCTCCATTATGGAATGTCCTGCTACTGCCTGACCTTTAATATCAAACAATCCCGATTTGAGGGACATCTCCTTGTTAGGTTTGGCCAGGGATCCCTAATTAGTCGAGCTCATCCCTCTGCCCATTTTTACAGTGCTAGGATGTCTTCCGCTTATGACCTGTACTGTTCTTCCATGTCCAGGAAAGCTGCATGTATGATTTTTATTAGATTGTCAATGATTAAGATGATAATTTCAAATGCATTATATCTTTACAGGTCCACAATTGTACATTCAAATACGGTCCCTCCCAAAGAGCAACAAAATTATGCATTCTTGAAAGATCAGAAAAATGCTGAAGAGGCATACAAGAATTCCAGGGACAATGAAGGAATTCATGTAAATCTATCAAGAACCATGCAAACACCACAAAGAATTTCTTTGGGTACGGTCAATAACTTTTAAGAATTTGTAGCTATCCATTTGCTTCTTGTTTTTCCATTTAGTTTTAACTGGATTTTGGTTACTTATCCAGCCAAACCAGGAAGAGTTGTTGGACCTGTTGCACAATATGAGAATGGAAACATGATGAAAGATACCTATGATCGAAGGACACTAGTTAGAAGTTCAGTACTTCCTCCTCAGGCTGTCCCTCCTGCTTATTGTTATCGCAAACCTGGTGCTGGAAATCAAGAAAGGTCTGTAGTGGAAGTCGAGAGGGACATGTCTTCACAAGCCAAGCAAGCTGCACAGTGTGGCATGGCAGCGAATGTAGCACCGGATGTAGCTATCAGCATCGACTCCAACCCATTTTTTATGACTCGGGTGGGAGTCAGTAAGGTGGAACATGATGACAGAATTGCTGTTGACACAAACTACCTGCAGACAAAGGCTCCATACGGTGGGATTGGCGCTGCGGCCGCCACTGCAGCGGCCCACCGCAAGGTTGGAACTGTTCAGTTCGGCATGCAAAGGATGTATTAGGCGAGCATTCAAAGAGTCGGGTCATGGTAATGATGCATAATGAAGCAGTTCATGCAGAGGCAGAGGAGGAAGATGGAGCACAGTTGATGCATGGCAGGAAGGGCTCCATCGAGGGGAGGATGGATAAGCGCTCCAAGGAGGTTGTGGTGAATTGAGGCAGTCGGTGCTTTCCTTTAAAGAGCCAGCTTTCTCTGGTTATGTTAGATGCGAGTACATTTATCTTGCTTCAAGAAACTATATGTAAGCAAAATTATACAATCAAATTCAAAAAACGAAACTCTCTGCCCCTTACCTGCTTGTGGAGTTCATATGAACATTAAACATAACTTGCATGCAAAGCACGGTTTACCGCTGACTGCAACAATTGCACAAGTAATTTTTAATATAATGGTCTTATACAACTCTTTCTTCGCTATATTTCAATTTGGCCAACATTCCACAACTCTATCAAGTGCCTCTGTTACTTCGAGCCTTCTAAGGATCAGCCTTGATTACAAAAAAACATATATCAAGTTGCAGAAGTTGCAACTTACAACCCTACAGGATTACCTTTTATTGTAGCACTTGGGTGACTAAAACTCGTCTAAGAAAATGAATGTTAAGGGTAGTAATGGAATTCAAGCAACTAGGGAAGGGCCAAAAAATTGAAAAACAATGCCTGAATTGTACCGAACCAACGGTTTGGTTTGAGTTTTTATAAGAAAGTCATACGGCCCAAAAATTGAATTGGACTGCTCCGATCTCGTTGGGTTGAGTTTTTATAAGAAAGTCATACGGCCCAAAAATTGAATTGGACTGCTCCGATCTCGTTGGGTTTGTTCTTCTTACCTTTTTAAACTCGAATCAAACTAGACTAGTAATGTTGGGTGATTCTGTTTCCAATTAAAGATACGAACCGAATCAAATCAGATATTTGGAATTGAACCATATGAACCAAAATTGAACAGAACTGAACTGTGCTGACCCTTACACGAGCCCACTCGAGCTAAGTTCTTTTGGACCATCAGATAATGTCTAATGCAGGTGAAATAACCCTTCACTACTAACTAAAATGACTTAAAAGACTAAAGTTGTGCATGCTATCATTCTGAAAGGCCAAAATGACATCTAACCTGTAACCCTTTTGTCTCACGACTAGGCATGCTCTAAGCATCAGGTCCAAGTTGAAAGATCACTAAAAACAGATACGTACTGTTGGTGACAGAAAAAGGTAGGGGAGTAAATGAGTTGGCAGCCATGGCCATCCAGCAACAAACTACAAGGCAAGAAGGGGAAGGCAAGGAACAGGTTCTGACTCAAACACAAATGCACCCACATCATCAGTACATTACACATGCATGATGAATTCTCTCTTCTCTTCTCTTCTCTTGTTTTGATTATAATTATTATGATGGGTGCGCATAGTTCCATGCCATCATTATTCAATTCCCTCACCCTACTTTTCTGTCCATATGGGGAGTCATGGACCCCTCTTTGCACGTATGCTTTGTCCCCATGAGCCCCATCAGATGGACCATCTCCTCCTTCACCACATGGCACTTCTCATTAAGAATCAGTGGTTTCAATTTTCATTTCAATCCTAAAGAGTTTGTGTCTCCTAGATTAATATTGTTGAGACGAGTAGGATTTACTTGCATCAACGTCTGATTGTCCTAGTAGAATCGCAATCATTTACACGCACGTGAACGGTCGAATCATCAACCCTAGTAGAATCGCAATCAGCATCTCGAAAATGATTTAGAAATGATCAAGTGTCTTTAAATTAGTTTGATGCATAGTAAAACGTACTAATTCAGTTGCATTAACTTGTACTTGACTAGAGTACGGATCACAAAAAAGAAGGAAAGAGAAAAGAAAAGGAGATGAAAGTAGAAGAGAACTCCAAGAGAAAGAAAGAAGAAGGTGGTGGGAGGGAAGGATCTGATTCTTTTCTGATTGCGATTGTGATCCAAGAAATGTAAATTAATTAATTATATTTATTAGAATAATAATAAATAAAGTATAAAAATAATAATATGTAAAAATATAATGTAGTGTGTGAATGTGACAGCAACAAGAGAAGAAGGGAAAGGGGGCTTGGGTTTGGCTTTGGGTGGGTGGTTCTCTGATCACACGGAGCCCCATATGCCCAACACACCAAATCTATAACACAATCCCAATGACCAAAACCACCCGCTGGTTTCCTCCTTGGAAACACCACCACCTCCTTCCCCATAATAATATTTACCACCTCCGTTTTATTATTTATAGACTAAATATTTATAAATTAATTATAATAAAATTTTATGAAATGAGATTTTTATTTTTGTGGGGCTCTAGGTGGGTCCCGATGGGAGTGCCACTTGGCAACCATGCCAAGCTAGAAATGTAGATCACAGGAAGGAAGGGAAAGAGGGAGGGGGTGTGGGGAGGCACTGAGGCACATGGGTGGTGTTAGGTTCAAGAAAATCATGTGATCACATGTGCTCTCTCTTTCCCTTTGTTTTCTACTGTGGAGCCCATTGACATTGCTCTCTAGTCTCTACTGTAATTTCACATGAACCTATCCACACCTGATCCCAGGGAGAGTCTCCTTCCCCCCACTCCTCCTGCGCGTTTGCCTCTTCTTTCCTCCATATGTTTTTCTCTCGTTGTTATTATTACTCTCTAATTGGTATTAACAATATTTTATTTGTTCATATACAACAAAAGATATCAACTGATGCGGTAGTATCTTATTTGATTCTAATTTAGATTTAATTTAATCGTGACAACTACGAAATTATCATGTATCACACTAGTCAACATAGGTGAACTTAAGCAGGAATGAGAGGGAGTTGTTGGCCCCACTCAACAAATTATTCTCCATTGATTTTGTCCAATTACTAGGCTAGCGTTTGCGTAAAGTAATTAAGGCAGGAGTGGGGAACAGAGAATAATGCTTGTTAAAATGCCTCTAAGAGGTTGAACAAGCAATCAACTATTAGTTTAGTAGTATGAATTTTGTTCTTTTGAAAAACGTATGAGAACTTCTTTACCTTTATTCGAAAGAGAAAAATTCATGTATTTACCACTGCTAGTCAAATAATTTATTTATGATGCAAATTAGAATGGAAGAGATTACGTGGCATTTGTGTCGAAACCTTAATGAACAAGACAACGCGCTTGATTAGAGAGGTGAAGAAAAGCACTAGAGTCCAAATCCAAAACAAGGGATTGGGAAGCCAAAACTAGTGGGCCAAAGCTTCGTTGGCATTGACATTTCTGGAGCTCAACAATAATTTAACGCCAACCTCATACACACCCTCCTTCCTCTCTTCAGTTCACAAAGAAAGTCATAACCCACCTTCTCTCTCTCTCTCTCTCTCTCTCTCTCTCTCTCTCTCTCTCTGTGTCTCTCTCTCTGTCTCTCTGTCTGCCCCTCACAGACTCACACAAACAACTTCCTCCTCTGTTCTTCCTCCCCTCAGACTCATGGAGGAAGCTCAAACTCAAACCCAAGTTTCCAAATCTACATTCAAGAGAAAGCAAAGAAAAACCCAGCAAAAATCTCACATGGGTAATGCAGTGCATGAATCTTTATCCAGCTTTAACCAACTGAGAGCAGAGTCTGCTCAACGAAGAGCCCGAAAACAGAGAAGGGAAGAGTGCATGAAGACTAATCAGCCCAGCGATGTAAAGAATGGTGGTGAAGAAGATGGTGACAAGGAGGAGGAGGTGGAGAAGAAGATTGAGGCATTGCAGAGGATTGTGCCAGGGGGGGAGTCACTTGGTGTTGACAAGCTGTTTGAAGAGACTGCTGGGTACATAATGGCCTTGCAGGGTCAGCTCAAAGCCATGAAAGCTCTTGCAAGCTTTGTTGAAGGTTTGGAGAAGGAGAAGAGGAAGTTTGGAGGTTGATTGATTGATTGATTAATTATGGCCTCTTGCTGATTGGGAGTTTGGAAGGTTCTTATTATGGTTCCATGACAGACCAATGAAATCTCTTCTTCTTCTTCTTCTTTTTTTCCTCTCTTTTTTTTATTTTTCAATTTTCTTTGTTGGGTAGTTAGTGGGTAGCTTTTTCTTTTTTTTTTCCTCCTTATAATGTTAATTTTTTCATATTTTTGTAATGAACTAAGGGATAGGAAAAGATCAAGTTCTCTAGTACTAAAGAAATGATATAATGCCTTTTTATTACATCGATGTATGAATTTTATTTCCCATATATATACAGTCTTCTTCTATCGAGGACATACAGTCTTCTTCTATCGAGGGATGTCCGGATAATTTGCATTTTGCAGGAACTTCATGGCTACTGTAGGCTCAGAAATCTGATTATCTGAAAGGCTAGGAGTTGTCATTAGATAATGATAGTTTTGCCGCATCTGGTGGTGTCTGATGTCTCTTGTTTTATTTGGATTGTTTAATTATACTTAGGAAACTAATGGTTAGTGTCCTATGAAAAAGATTGAGGTGGTTTAGCATGTGGTTAGTGAGCTACTCTCAGTGACTAAAAGTTAATGCTGTACTGGTTTTGGCATCTTATACTGAAACATTATTATTAATAATATAAATATATGGATTAGTAGTGGATAATGAGGGTTTAAAGTAGCTTTTAATTATTTGGTATTTTGACTTAATTACCCCCTTAAAAGGTTTAATATATCAATTGGAAAACATGACAAGGACATAAATTTTGAGCAATAATAATATATCTAGGTTGAAGGCTTTTTCATGTTACATTACATATGCGTTAAAGTAGAAAGAGAAAAGGTAACCATGTGGAGATAAATGGATAACTGATGCGTAATTTTTAATTTATTCTCTCCACAGGTTTGAAACTATTACGTTTTCATCTCATTCTATACATGTTACATGACTTGATGAGAGAGATATGTACATTATACATAACCGACGATAAAGGAAAAACGAAAGAAATTTTCAATTGAGAAAAACCAAACGACGATAGGCACATTGTATTCATTAATAACATCAATTAGTTAAGTGGTTTTGATTTATTTTGACATTTTTCTTTGTAAGCCTAATTTGAATCATGCTTGATAAGATTATTCTGGTCACCCACGATGTTGAGCCGTGATTTATTTTGACACACTTGATGATGTCGTCGCTTGTGGCTTTGTGCAACCTTCCAATGTTTGACTTAGCTTGGCAAGTCTAATGATACTTTGTTTAGTCAAAGTACCTAACTGGATTTCCCCTTTTTGACATTTGGTTATTGGCAACATATGTTCAAATCAAATCAAACCGTTGGTTCTTCTCTATACCTGATCTTGTCCCCGGAACTACCCCAAGAGGGCTTTAGAACTAAATTAGGTCAGTTAAATCGATCTCACCCAATATAATATATCTAATCATTAACCCTTCTACTCTTCATGCCCCACTCTTGTTTGGTGGTTTGCCTTGAATATAATTAGAGTTGAATTCAAACAAGTTCATATGAGTCTTAACTCTCTAGATGAGATTCGTAAAACACAGTATGTGTTGACTGTGGTTCAATCCCAACATTTCTAAGTTAATCGAACAACGATCATGATATTTATCCAATTTAGTTGAAACAGTACAACTCAATCCGACTCACCAGACGTGGTTAGGTCACATTTGAAATGTACATTTAAACTAAGTTGACTAACTATTACAATTGATTAGACTACTCCAATTAAATTACGAGCACCGTTAAAATGAAATGTGGTCGTTCAAGACTTAATATCTAAGTCTTAGGTTTTAAACTTGAGATGTCTTTCAATACTGATAAGAGAAATACCACTAATTAAAAAAAAAGAAGTTGAGATGACCATAAAGGCATTGCACAGCACCACTTGGGAGGCAAAAGTTTATGGGTAGTTGGAAACCACTGTATCCAACGGGTGCATGCATGTGTGGACTGTTAATGTGCATGTTGGTTGAGTAGAGTTGCACTCAGACTGATGAATTTAAGAAATAGATAAGAAGAAGAAACAAAGGAAAAGTGGCCTTGTCTAAAAGAAAAGCACTCTGCCCATGGATCGCATTGCCAATGGCAGGTGTGGTCCTCCCTCATGGAACATTCATGGTATGTGTTAAGGTGCTTTGCTCGCTATATCCTGCAAACAAAAACTTAAAAAAAGGCTGTAAAACTTGGAATTTCGAATTTTTTCTTTTTTTTTAAAGTTAAAGCGACCAAATAAAATACTGCAGACGTTGCCCATTCTCTTATGTTTTCATCTATCATCTTCCTGCCTCCTCCATGCTTTATGTTTCATTCCATTTTGCTTGGGGCTTGGCCTAGAATGACATGAGCTTGGGGCTTGGGTGGGGGTGTTTTTGCTTCCAACAATAATTAGACTGCACAATGGGCCTCTCCCCCTACATCTGATGGCTTAAAAGATCGGCCCTCATTTTGTTGGATAGAGATTCTAGGAAAGGATTTCGTTAAGATTAGTAGTTTACGCGATGAGTTTTGACCGTTAATGATATGTGCACCTCGCATGTATTAATAATTAAAAATAGTACACGCGCACTTGAGTTACTACTAAGGTGGCTCAATCTTACTTTAGCGTTTGGTGACAGTTTCAAGCGAACCCGTTTCTCGAAACTATAGGGTGTTCTAATTAACAATTGAGTCCTCTATAAATTGAAGGAGATAATTGCTCATTATATGACTCATCAAACTTCTCATCAACAGTCAGAAATTACACACGCACACGCATTACCGATGCACGCAACAGATTATTTAGAATGTCTCAAATTTCAAAACTCTAAATAATAAAATATTTTTGAAAGAATTGAAAACTCTCGGTACAAAATTAAAAAATAAAAATAAAAATGGAGGAAGAAAGTGGGTAGGTGTCATCGCCGGCTACCATGGTGGTTGTGCGGCCAATCATTGCAATTGTTCTTTTTTGTCAACTTTGTTAAATAAGTTCCAAATGAAGGGTAGGGTTGAGATTTTGTAAATATTTATTGGGTGCCCAAAAAGAATATTACAAATTCAAAAGATTGAAGATGGGTGTCCAGAGACAAATTTTGGCTAGATGTTGTTTCAAATCCAGCCCAACAAGCAAAATCCACTTGTCCACCACCCAAGTGGTTCAAATCATCAACAAAATCAGAAAGGGACGGGTCCCACAACTTTTAGCACGTGCACCGCACCATCGACGACTCTCAGCCGTCCGTTCCTCATCACAGATTAGATTCGACGCCTTCTGTAATTCTAGGGAAAAAGAAGACGGAAAAGGATAATAGAATTTTGTAAGAAGCAGAAACCCTAAAGGCTCGTCACTCTCATTTGCCCCTGTTTACTCGGAACAGTCTCGTCCCACGCAGATCATTTCATCAGTAGAAGCACCATTGCTGATTGCTTTCGGGTTTGGTTTTCTCTTATACTATTTCTATTTCTTTGAAGAATTGAAGCCCTATTATTCTCGTTTTTGTTTGAAACTGCAAGAAAATTGATAGATGAAACTTATTTATGAGATTTTGAATTTTGCATTTTGCATTTTCGATTTTGTGGTTGTGATTGGCTTCTGTTCTTGTGTGTGTGCGTGCGCGTGTAGGTTTAGACATGGCAGACGAGAAGACGGTTGAAATCATCGACGATCAAACTGAGGCCTTCTACGATGCCGATCAGACGGCGGAAATGGGCCGGAAGGTCGAGGGTTTGGAGCGGGAGAAGCTGCAGTTGGAGCGCGAGAACAAGGAAAGCAATGAGCAAATCAAGGAACTGACGACGGAGATCGAGAAGTTGAAGAGAGGCGAGAAGGACACGAAGGAGAAGCTCCGGGAGATGGAGTTGGAGATCGAACGGAACGACGAGGGAAAAAATGTTCTGGAATCGGTTGCGAATAGAGCGATGGAGCTTGAGACGGAGGTATCGAGGCTCCAACAAGACCTGATCTCGGCGATGGCCGAAGGGGAGGAGGCGAATAACGAAGTTGCGGAGCTGAAGCGTGTTTTGGGAGAGAAAGGAGCGAAAATTGATAGATTGGAGAAAGAGCTTGAGAGCCTGAAGAAGGCCAAAGCTGAGAGCGAGAAGTGGGTTAGGGAATTGGAGAGGAAGATTGGGTTTTTGGAAGTGAAGGAAACTGAGGAGAAGAGCAAGAGAATTAGGGTTGAGGAGGAGATGAGGGAGAGACTTGATGGGAAAGAGAATGAGCTTAGTTTGTTCAAGAAGAAAATTGAGGAATTGGAGTCGGTGATCACCAAGAACGGTGTTGAATTGGGGAAGAAAGTGAAGGAGACTCTCGATGTCGAGGCGGCATTGAGGGAATCGGAGGACAAGTGCAGAGCCATGGAACTGAAGATGGGACAATTGCAGAAGGATGTGGTGGAGGCTGACAAGGTTATTAATGGATTGAGGGAGAGGACTGTTGGGGCCATTAATGGGACTGTGAATGAAATGGAGATTTTGGAAAGCGGAGAGACGGGTCCAAAGGGATTGAGCTTGCCAGTTGTTGCAGGGTCTACTGGAGCCATTGTTGCCGTGGCGGCTGCTGCCGTCTATGTGTTGTATCTAAGGCCTAGGTGATTGGATTGCGATGCGGCTATAGAGAAAAAGTCCGGGCTGGTTTAAAGCTAGAGGTTAGGGGTTTATTGATTAAGAGCATGTTACAATTTTGTTAGAATCACTGAATGCTTTTTTGTTGGCTTTGGTTTTTTATTATGAGCCTATGGTTGTCATGTTAGCTCTATCATTTTGGGATGCTTTGCTGTTTAGCTTTTACTTGCTTGGCTGGAAAAAAAACTTCATATATATAGTTTTGCAGATTTAACATACTTCCACTATCGTCTATACTGTATTTTGAATTGCTTGAATAACACAAATGCAGTATCAAGATTTTTTGCGTATTATTTGATGCTGTACTTGTAGCACTTATATTCTAATTCTGCTTAATCGCTTTTACTAAGATTGTCCAATTGCCTTGTTGGTGCTTTCCTTAAAATGCCATTTAGTAGGTTTTGATAAAAAAATTGTTCTGTAATCAGAGCGTAGCCGGTAACCCATCAGTGATCATAGCCTTGGTCAC